AATACCATGGTATTATAGTATTTTGGGTGTTCGCGGCGCCGGGCCGGCAGATTGTACAATGTAACATACGGCGACACATGAGAAGCGCAGATGTAGTGTGTCCGCTCTCTGTTTTACGATTTCGGAGACCAAGCAGCCGCCCGCTGAGGCACACGCTCGAACAGAGATCTTTTTTTTTTTTTTGTGCTTTGCGCCGGAGCACGTGGTTCCACGGCGACAAGTAACGTTGCTAGCTCCTAAACTATTGTAGGCGGTTCCTAGCCGTTGAGCCGCAGCAGCAGCAGCAGCAGCAGCAGCAGCAGCGAAGTCATATGTGCCTCGAAGAAAGAGCGGAATCGACCCAAGGTGAGGTTATGTGAGGTGAGATTCACCTGGTCGCTCCATCGGGGGAGGGTTTACGGAAAGTCTCCAAGCCGTTCGTTCGGGCACAATCATTGGAGATCGCTCCGGAAACGTCCCCTGCCCCCACCCCGCTGTAGCGCAATATAACCGTTTTTCTGTTTTGGTCCCCCACTCCACTCTGGGAACGCCCCGAAGGTACCTACAGCTACAGCACGTGTTATTATCTTCCCAAAATGTTTGTGGTGGTTTCAAAGGATGCATAAATGCCACGCGTCAGTTGGACCAGTAGGTGTTGGGACGTAATGAGCAAAGATCGGACCGTTGTCTTTTCTTGAGCGAAAACAACTGCAGCTAAAAACTAAGAACGGAGTGTCCCCCTTATCGTATCCTGTAGCGACGAGGATCGGCGTGCACCCCCTCCTTCCCGACCGCGGGAACCACAGGGAGATTAAACTAAATGGCTTTGTAGATAGATTGTTCTGCGTCGGGGAGAAGTATTTGGACTACTAGTAGACAAGGGGGATGTTTTTCTCTTTTCTGTACGCCCCCCCCGCCCCCCGGGATGGAGAGGAGAGATTGCAGAGAAAAGTATGGGAGGCGAAGTGGGCAAACAAAAAGAGGGGTAGACAACCCACGGAATGGGTCAAGGTTGTAGAGGACGTATGGAAGGGATTGGACATCGAGACGAAGATGAAACGCTTGAAACGGAGGGTCTACAGGGGTTTCAAGAAGAAGATATCTGTTGCTTGTGCCGACAGAGAAGAACAGAATCTAAGGAAAGAATCCAAGGATAAGGAGGGTCTAGAAGTGTACGGAATGTTGAAAGAAGGAAAAGGGTTCAAGGATTACCTACATGGACCAATGGATGCAGGGACAAAGCTTAAGGTCAAATTCAGGACCGGGGACATAGGCCTTCGCGAACGTCGACGAAGACATAGGACGGTAGACGACGAAGACGACAAGTTCAAATGTGATTGCGGCTTCGAATGCGAAGACAGTGTTCATGTAGTCGCGGAATGTCCGTGGTACGAAAAGGAGAGGGAAGTGTACATGACTGAGCTGGGAAAAATACAAGGGACGTACAGGGAGATGTTTGAGGCATGGAATAGGGAGGAGAGGACGGTAGCGGTACTGGGGAGTAGAAAGTGGTTTGAAAAGGCGGGAAGGGACATCGTTAGGATAGACAAACTAGGGAAGACATTTTTGAGCCACCTTTGGCAAAGTAGGAAGGAACGATTGGCCATCGGTGATCGGTCCTGTGGGAACAATGCTCCGTCCTCTCGAGGACGCGTGGTCAATGGTCTAACCGCTAAGGCATGCAAAACATAGGAGTACGCCCCCCCCCCCCCGCCCCCCCGTCTGTTCTTCTGTACCACACAAACCCGGCGTCTCCTCGCCACGTACGTATGCGGACACCATCTGACTTAGTCTACGTACCAGATATTCGTGCGTCATGTCTATTTCCATCGAGAGGGCCCCCATCGACTGCCCGCTGGGCTGTTGCAATGAGAAGTGCTTGCCTCTCGAACGGCCGGTGGTTGTAGTCTATCTATCTATGCGTGAAGCCGTGGAGAATCAGAAACGCATGCCTCTGCTTTGGCCCACGGTCGCTCGAAAGCCCGACTTTCCCAAGCACGAACAACCGTGCCGGTTATCTTGTATGTTCCGTGGATTGAAAACGGAGGCAGAGTGATATATCGGGCGCGGTAGCTGTTCAAAAGGAAGATGGACAGCAGCACCGCATGAAATGTGGCATACGGTCGCCATCCTCGACACAGTGCCGTTGTGGCGTGTGCCCATGCCTGACTTGCGGAGGGAACGGACACTTTCGAAATCGGCCGCCGCAGCCTGCCTCCCCTGTCCCGTGACGATGTACCAATCGGACACCTGTTGGCAGTTGCTTCACTTCGCGCGTCTGCTTCACCCTGACGGCAACTCCAGAAGTCCGTGCCACACCCGGAGACAAACTATTTCCGCTGGGATGATTCCGAACATGACGCTCGCTGGTGCTGTAAGACTAGACTTGTCTAATCTACTATGGATTTGCAGCAGGAGGTTCCGGTTGCTGAAGCAGCTTCATCACGGACGTCTCAACAACTTTGCCGTCGACCCTCCCCCTCGTGGCTTTGAACGCTTGCCCCATGAAAAACTTGGACAGGTTAGCTTTTCCACTCCTGTAGCTGGCCAGCTGACAATACCCGTTGAAGCCACCATCCAGTCCAGCGCATGGCAACGGCAACAGGGTGGGTGGGATCAACCACTTAGCGGGGTTTGAGTTGGTCGCAAGAGTGCTGCGTCTCTAGAAAAGCCAGGTCAAAACACAAATAATCGAACAATTCCAGCCGGGGAGCAACCAACCGTGATGTCAGCTGCGGATACCCCAGCCGTCGAAGGCAAGAGAACATCAGGAAAACCAAGCAATTCTACGTCAACGAATTGTAGACTAATTCGAGGGTCGACGCTGCAGCCGCATACACCAGCACCTGCAGCCGCATACATCAGCATCCCCATAGGGGTCGGGTCACATTCCCTTTCGTCAGTCGCTTGTTGGTAAGCTGCAACGAACAGCTATACACGAGAATAACAGCACAAAGTCGTCCGGAGACAACGAAAGAGAGCGGCAAGAAGTAGGACCCCGCACACCTGCTTGGCGTGCCGCGGGTCTTGCACTATCCCTCGACAAAGGGACTCGATTTCCGCTTGGTCCGTGATCTGCCTCAGGTCCTTCGCTTCGACTATCTCCATCGCGGTGCTAGAATGGTCCTCCTGCCGCCATCAAACCACAACAAACGCAGCGCGGGTACAGAGCGCCATCAACAAGCGTTAGCGCTCACATGGGGAGGAGGGACTTCGCGGCAAAGAACGGGGGGGCAAGCTTAACCAAATGAAGCCGGTACATGGTTGCAGGGTTCCGATGGTCCTATCTACGACAGAGAAGAAAGAGCCATCACGTCATCTCAACGACGAAGAGGATGCTGTACAACAACCAAACTGATGCGTTCTCGGAAATCTCTCGACGAAACGGTTCCAATCCCACCACTTTTTCGGCGCAATCACTGCTGTCTGCTAGTGCTAGCTGCCGAGTAGTCGAGCTGTTCACTATCGCTCCAGGTTATGCCATACACAAACTACACACCAATGTCAACGTAGGGGCTGGCGCCATCTGCACACGTCGTCTTGAGACTCGGGTGAGAGCCTCCACCGGCTTGATTTTAAATCGGTCCATTGAAAACCACATTCTGCACGAAGATCAACCCGCGACCACACGCACACAAAACCGGTCTCGGAGAAGCAAATCGTCGCTACAACCGGTCAAAAAAAAAAAAAAAAGTATCCTTCCCTGTTTTCCAATGGCAAACTTGGCTCACTTATGCAGTTCACTGATTGGGTTTGGGTTAAGGGGTTGCGGTAAAACAGGATTAGGGTTCTAACCCTAACCCCTGACGGGTACGCACCAGCACCATTTCGCGGAGCACGGTCTTGGCCGTCTGGCTGGAGATCGTCCCCTCCGAGAGGAGGTCGAGCAAGCCTCCCAGCCTTTCCGCCGGGAGACGTCTGCCCGAGGGATGCCACGCAAACGGAAACACGAACGGATCCAGCGGCTTTTTTGGATAAGGATAAGACGCAGCCTCCTGCAAGCAGGAAAAAAAAGGATTGACGGAGTGCCATGCCGCTGCTTTGCCGGTCTGAGCCGCCTCCCTCGTTTGTTATGATCGTTCTCATCTCGTCTCTTTGTTGAGGCTCACAGAGCTGGTGAATGAATCTCCTTCGGCACGAAATTGTTTTGCCATCGGCCATTGGTCGCGAGGGCAAAAAAGCACGAAGCTTCGCTGGAGCTTCTTCACCTTCGAATACCTTCTTTGCGGCGTATTGAGTGACTTTTGGGCAAGCATCTGCTGTTGGTTGGTTGCGATGGAACAACCACGCGAGAGGTTTGCACACGGCCGGCTGCAGTCGATCGCACGGACGGATACAACAAACGGCATCGACAAAACGAAAGTGATCGCGATATTTGCTCGGTTTTCACAAAGTGTTCCAGTGCAGCCGGCGGCGGAACGTTTGTCAACACAACGGCCCCAGCAACAGCTTGTGTTTAACAACAGTCTCCTTGAAGCAGCAATTTCGGGGGCCGTTGCAGGACTCTCCAAAACTCTAAGGAGTAGACGAACAAAAGGGCCAATTTTCCTCACCTCTCGAGGCCCCCTTCATCGCTGTCGCCGCTACCCAGCTGATCTTTGAGGAGGCCGAACAGGTTGTTGGAGAGCCAGTTAGCGGCCACTTTGGGGTCTCGTCGGTACGGACCGCTGCCTTCGCCAGCTGCGTGACCCCTCTCTCTACCTGTGCCATTCACGAGGTCCTCGTAGTAATCTGTTGGGTACAGCCAAGGGATGTGGTGTGTGGAGGGTTGCCGAAAACACAAGAGTTGCTGTGGTTGACGTTGTCGTCGCTGGCGTTGTTGCTAGTGTTGTTGTTGTTTTGTTGTTGCTGATGTCGTTGTCGATAGAAAATCATCACAACCGCTCGAGGCTATCCACTCAATGGAACATACAGCAGTCGGATCTGCGTTTATGTATGTCAACACACGACGAGCCTACGAGCAGGTGATCCTGCCGTGAAATGTGAGAATGCCCCGCAATTCATGGCGAAGCAGCTCGTGAGACTCTAGCCACAGTAGACGCCCGAATGGTCCTAGCCACAGCAGCAGTACCGGCATAAAACCAGCGCAGCCACCCAAAAATCAGACCAAAGCAAAGGCTTCCTTCGCCACGAATACCCAACACCCATGTAAAGTCGAAGGCATGAACTGCTGCGACGAGAACGTGTCAAGGAAAGAGGAAATAACCATTCTCGGTGATGTCATCCCCGCTCCGCCAGAGTGGCTCATTGAGACAGAAGCTGCAATGAGCGCCACAGGCAACCACACACACGCATGTAACAGTTTCATCGGGGTAGCGGGGGGTCGATGCTTGCTACAAAACACCGGGATCTGGGCCTTTCTTGGTCCAAGTCTCCTCCGCACGCCCCCCCCCCCATCGGTGGATCCTGCGGATGACCAAGTGCTTTGGCGCTGTAATGTCTCGTTAGCAGGACCGACGAGCTTTCATCTATCGGCCGACCGGTTAACGCGGTCGGTGGTATCTGCACACGTATTCTACACACACACACACACACAAACACCACCATACACACATACCGCCACCTCTACACACACCGTGAACACATCGGTACCCCCCCCCCCCCCCCAAGTACCTGAAGCCCCTCCCGCGGCACACACGATCAACCGACTCAGGTGCTCCGCGAGCCCGTACTCCGCGGACAGCCTCGCCATCGTCGCCTCGGGCAGCTCGGGCAGCGTCGCCCTGAGCGCTTCGACGTGCTCGTGGGTGACAACAAGGGGGGGAAGGTCCGGCTCCGGAAAAAAGCGGTAGTCGACCGATCCCTCCTTTCGTCGGAGGTGGATCGTCTCTCCCTGTTCCCGGTTGGGGGGGGGGGGGGGGGGACCCCTGTTTAGCATAACTTAGCGGGTAAAACCAAAGGGGGGGGGGGGGGGGTTATCGATATTCCGG